CTTCGTGCTCTCCAGCAGATTGCGTTTGGTCCGTTCCAGCAACGCATCTTTGAGATCTTCGTTCAGCAGCAGGTATGCGGCGACGGACACGGCGAACACGTACGCGGTCAGGTCGCCCAAGTCCTCTTCCGACTTGCAGTCTTCGTCCAGAAACCGCAACAACCTCACGGTCGTTGCGATCGGGCGCGAACACGTCGCGACGGAGGAGAGATCCAACAGTATCTGGCCGCCGGAACGATAGACGTCTTCTCCGCATCCGAGTCTAAAGTCCGCGAAACCTTGTACGAAGCCGGACATGACCGTCCAACGTCTCAATCCATTTTTCGCCCTGTACGTCCCTCTTCCTTCTTCGAGTTTGATGTTGAACGTCAACGCCATGGTTCGTCGCGAACGAACAATGCTACCCGAATTACTTATTCTTCTTGTTTTTATACTCGAACAACTGGCTTCGAAATCAACATATGAACGCGAGACGCAGAAAGTAGAATACAATCGGCATGCTGTTCTTCTTCGCCCTGATAGTGATGTTATTTTCGGTCGCGTATCCTATGCCGACCGAAGATCAATCGCCTTCGACGGACGAAATCGACGTCTATTTCGCAACGAGCGTCGGCATCTCGTCCATCGTCGAAATGCGAGTGGTGAATGAGTGGCGAACCCTGTTCGTGGGAGCGAACAACTCGGCGTTCGTGTTCGATCTCGATCGAACTCTAGAATCCTCGACGGCTACGAAGTTAGACTGGATGCCGGACTCGGTCGCCAAGAAGAAGTGCAGATTGAAAGGGAAGGAAGAACACAACTGCCAGAACTACGTGAAAATCGTAACTCCGGATTTAACGAACGGTCGAGTGTTGATCTGCGGAACCAACGCTCAGAAACCGAAGTGCATTCATGCCGAGATGTCGAACTTGGAGAGTGATTGGAGGAGAAGGAACGCGACGGACGGTCTGTACAATTGTCCGTTCGCCGTCGACCAAAAAGTAACGTCCGTCTTCGCGGAGGGTAGCCTGTACGCCGGGACGGTCGCCGATTTCAACGGCAGGGATTCCGCACTAACGAGGTCGATGGGCAACGCCGTTCCTCTCATAACCAAGAGGCACGATTCGTTGTGGCTGAATCACCCGAAATTCGTCGGATCGTTTGTAGAGGGCAGAGAAGTGTTTTTCTTCTTCCGAGAAGTTTCCGTAGAAAACTGCGAAAAAATTTATCGTTCGCGAATCGCACGCGTTTGCACCGACGACAAGGGAGGCAGAACTATACTGGACTCCAGTTGGACGACTTTTCTGAAAGCGCGACTCGACTGTTCGTTCCGAGGGGAATTTCCGTTTCGCTTCAACTACCTGCAGGACGTCGTTCGGACCGTCAGCGGGGGAAAGGTCTTCTACTACGCCGTTTTCACGACGGGCGAACACGAAATACCCGCCTCGGCCATCTGCCGTTTCGGCCTCGACGACATAAGGGACAACTTCGAAAGAGGTCCGTTCTTGCGACCGACGGCGCCTTGGGGACGCATCCCGGACGAGGACGTTCCAAACAACAGACCGGGCGATTGTTCGGTCGACTCGACTCCACTCTCGTACGAAGATCTAAACTTCGTGAAATCGCACCCGTCGCTGTACGAACCGGTCGGAAGTGGGGACCCGCTCTTTACGCTCGTTCGACAAAACTACAGGTTGAAGACTTTGACCGTGACTGAGACTGGTAACCGTACGGTCGTTTTCGTCGGAACGGACGACGGCCGAGTCTTGAAATTGGTGCTGTTGGAAAATCGGGCCGTCCTTCTGTACGTCATGCGCGCGACGGAGCAACCGATCACGAACGCCGGGTTGCACGGGAATTTTTTGTACGTAACCTCTACCGATCGACTTTACGAAATCCCTCTTCAACGGCATTGCCGACTCCTGAAAGATCGTACCCGCAAGCAAGATCCGCATTGCAGTTGGATGTCGACGAACGTCGGCGTCGAGTTGGACCAGTCGGAACACGTGCAGACGGAGGAAAAGACGAACGCGGACGTAGAGTTGGAACCAAGACCGTCGGAGCACGTGCAGAACGCCGACTTGGAGTTGGACCCAAGGCGTTCGGAGCACTTGCCGAACGTGCAGGCGAAGAACGCCTATCTGGACTCGCCGTCGACGGATCACATCAGTCTCGTCGCACTCGCGGCAATAGGGTGGACACTTTGTATAGTTGAAGCTATAGGCATTGTTTGGTTGATATTTAAAGTTACTTTGTTGGTACGGTAAAAAAAAAATTGTTCGTTTTTTTTACATATCTGTGTATTTTTATAATCCGTTTCTGTTAGAGTTAGGAAAATGCGAACATTCGCAAATGCATTGTTGAATTTAAAATTGAAATAAACGAAGATTGACACATAATTTGTTTGTTTTTCTTTTCTTTTATTTCGTCTAATCAACACTCAACC